AAAAAAAAAAAAAAAAAAAAAACAAATTTTCAAAGCTCAGTTATTATGGATGTAGAGTGAAATGCAGGATTTGGAAGACATTGAGAGCCGGGACTTTTAATTGAGAGCCGGAACCTTTATGGATGATGGTAGAATGAAATTTCCATTAATACATGGGCATCAGCACTTTATTAAAACTGTTGAAGAAGTGGCTTACTGGCTGGTAGTTATCATGGAGTATTTACTAAAGATTGGTGGTAGTCGTCGCTTTATGCAGAGGTCTTCATAAAATAAATTCTTAGCTAAATTTCCTGTTTTGTTCCTTTCCCTTTAGGTTATGCCGATTTTAGGCGTTTGGTAACAGTCAAAAATCGTTACAGCTTTTTGTGCAAAGTTGAAAGTGTTTGGGCATACAGTATCGTAGCTGTAATTGATTAGGGGTACGAAACTTTTGCGGATGCGAACTTCAAAAGAGGTTTTTTGGTGATAAGAGTACTTATTGCTGGAGGAGAAGAGAGGAGGTATGTAGTGATAATGATTTTGAGAAACGACTCGTTGGGAGATGTACAGGTCGGAAATTTAGCTGAACTGGTGGTTGTTAAACTCCATCCTTACGAAGATTTTTAGAGTAGATTCGCAGTTTTTGTCACGTTGTTTTTTACCTTTACAAAAACTAAAAAAAAAAAAAGAAAAGTTGTTTTTTTTTTTATCGCTGTTACTGTTAATGATCTCTTTTTAAGAATCCCGTTCGGCTGAACAGTATTTATTTGAAAATACGAGTCTTTTCAGGCTGATTTGGACAGCGGTGAAGGCTCAACAATTCGATATCCTAGAATTGATCAAGTGTATAGTGTACCCTCCATGTATGAAGGTCCATCGGAGAATTGCGCGATTTTGCCTGGTCGCGGGACCTGTGCAGCTCCAAATACGTCTTGCATGCGTTATCCTGGCCAACCTATACCAACAGTGCAGGATGCTTCTTTCCAGCATCATGGTTCATCAGATTCTCGAATCATTGTCAATGATACTAATAGGGTACTGTTTTTCTTAAATCGGAAATGGTTATTTAATTCATCCATGTTTCCAATCGTTTTCTGACTTTAATTGAATGACAGGCGTAACTACAATGTAATTTTACTTTTCATGAATACTTTAAATGTATGCATTTTGTAGATATTCGTGTAACCTATTTAAATAGGTCTTCGCTGTTATATACTTAATAACGTAGAGTGCTGGTTACACTCCATGAAGTTCAAGCATTC